CGGGGCCCTGCGGGGTTTGTCGGGGCAAAGCGGGCAGGTGCCGCCCCGCTCCCCGCCTTTGTCAGGAAAACCAAGCTCAAAGTTTGCTTCGGACTTCTCAGCTCATCTCCTCCCTCTTTCCCTTTCCGAGGCCAGCGAAGCGATGCTGTCGCACAACGCGGTTTGACAAGTACCGCCTGCGAGCAAGGAAATGGTCTCATTAAACTCATTAAACTAATCTGCTTAAAAGTTTGTCATCTTTCTGTTCCCTTGGTTTTTTTTCACCTCAGTAGATGTGGTGTCTTTACGGCACGGCATGCCTTTGTTAAGCTGTTGTTTGTGATAGAGATGAATAAAGTTTAAACTGGTTCAGATAGCTGAGCTTTCCAAAGCAGGGATTTTTTTTGTCAGTTCTTGGTTATGGAGTAAGATCTCTCTGAAAATTAGACGTGACTCAAAAGGAGCGCCCACCCTCAACCTGTGCCCCTCGAGCGTGCTGGAAAACCTTCCCTGTGAGCCCTGGCTGCCTTTCCTGCAGGAGCAGCCCACCGATTTCGGAGGGAGCCTGTGTGCAGTGTCCAACCGCTGTTTGTTGAGTGCAGCTACAGTCGGGGAGCAGCAGGAGTGGGGCTGCCCCATCGGCAGGGACACACCACACGCCAGCGGTGAGTGTGGCACCAGCTGTGCCCGAGGTCTGGACAGGGAGGCAAAGTTGGGGTGGTGATAACAGACTCCATTAACAGCCCCGGACAAGGAAAGGTGGTGAATGAACCAGGTCTGGGCTCCATCCAAGAAGTCCCGTTGAGCAGCAGCAGGTAGGGTTGGGGCTGGTGGAAAGGCTACCGTGCAGGTCCATCCAGTAGAGAGGGCAGGGACCAGAGATAGTCACACCTATACATTGCTCAGGGAAGGACAGGGGGTCAGCGCTGGGTGCCGGTGGTGCTCGTGGGCAGGGGGTGTGGGTGGAGGTCCACCTGAGGATGTTCAGGGCAGGGAAGGTGTGCTGGTGTGCTCATGGCCCGGATGCTGCTAACGCTTCCTACAGTTGAATGGGACTGTCAACTGACTTCTGCATGATGTGCATCATCAAGAAAACGCATCCTTTAGAAGGCTGTTGACCTTCCTCTTTACTAAAAGTCATATTTCTGATTATTTTTACGGTAGGCTGGTAACATAAAAAGCTGTTTTGCTGAAGATGTTCTTTTGGAGATCCAGGTTTCCTAAAGATACTCAGTGCTCCACAGGATTAGCCTTCCTATTCTTAAGGGCTGAGTTTTATCCACCAGTGACCTGCTGTTTATTTATTATCCAAAATAGTAGCCTGTTTTGTCATTGTGTGGTCAGTAGGAATCTCCTGTCCAGCTCATGGATTTACTTCTGTTTGGTTTGGGTTTGGTTTTGATGTTTCTTTTGTTTGTTTGAGTTGTTTTGAGATATTCTTGTACCTTGAAGAAAGTTTCTACCATTTTCCTCATAGGAAGAGATGTAGAACCTGTAACGTTTTTGATTGACTTGAGGAGTGACTGGATGAACTGACGGGTTTTTTCCCATGTTTAACATATGCATATATATTCCTTATTCACTCCCATTGCCACGTATACCTATAAAACTTCAGCTTTGCTTAGTCTGATAATGCTGCTAATACAAGAACTTGACTTGGGGTCAAAATGTCTCTGTAATGCAGCAGCAGAGAGACACAGGAAAGACAAAACCATAAACCTGGAGTGTTTTTAGCAGATCCTATGGAAATCCCCATCTGTTACCCACCCACACCAAACCGACTGACCCCAAACACCAACCAAAGCATCATGGCCCTGGAGTTGGCCAATGCAACAATCAAACCTGGGTTTTGCTCTGGCTGGTTTCAATTGTAAAAATGTTTATCAAGTGGAAGTAATTGATTTAAAGGCTGCCAGAGTCTTTCCCAGGCTATAAACGTGTCAGTGTAAATTTTACTTCAGCACCTACAGTTTCTTGGGGGTGTCTCTGGGTGGAAGAGAGGGATTGTTAACTGTGCTGGGGAGCGTTTGGGCCTCAGCTGAACTCCTCGACCAAACCGACGGACCCCAAACACCAACCAAAGCCTCACAGCCCTGGAGTTGGCCAATGCAACAATCAAACCTGGGTTTTGCTCTGGCTGGTTTCAATTGTAAAAATGTTTATCAAGTGGAAGTAATTGATTTAAAGGCTGCCAGAGTCTTTCCCAGGCTATAAACGTGTCAGTGTAAATTTTACTTCAGCACCTACAGTTTCTTGGGGGTGTCTCTGGGTGGAAGAGAGGGATTGTTAACTGTGCTGGGGAGCATTTGGGCCTCAGCTGAACTCCTCGGTGCCCATCTGCTGGGCTTCTGGTTTGCAGGAGTGAGGGACACAAATGACCTGGCAAATCTTGGGCTTTCTGTGCTGTGACTGGAACAGGGAAGTGAGCGTGGCAGAACGGTGTCAGTTCACGTTCACCAAAGTTTCACCTCTAAAAGAAAGCAGATAGCTGATACTAGGAAACCCCCCCAAACCTTTGGTCGTTGTGTGTTCTTTGCTTTTTCAGGAGAAGCTCTGGCTGCTGGGCACTTGGGGTTTGCATCATGTTTCCTTAAAAAAACAACGACCTGACCCTGTACTTTTAAACACCAGACAACTGTGAAAACAGTTGGACCAGAGAAACCTTAATGTCCCTGTAGCCTCCCTGTGACGAGGGGGTTGGGTTTGGTGGATGTAACCTCTCCATTTGCAGCCTGCTTTTCTTCAAAACCAGTCCATTAATTGCTCCACACTTAACCCTTTCTCCAGTGCAGCACTTTGGGTATTGGAGGAATCAAAAATTACTGTCACCATGTAATTACAGTCACTCTTCTATTTGCTCCCAACTGTTGCGAGACTAAGACTTCACTCCTGACGCAGACAAGGTTTGCCTGTTCCCTGACTCATTCTCTAAACCTCCTCAGGCAACGTTTTCTTAAGTATTGAAGGACTTTGTACTAAGTTGTTCCCAGTTCTGGTAGCACACTCCAGTCTCATTTGTGTGGTGGGTTGTCGTTCAGCACACAGAGCCAGCCAGTGCTGCAGGGCTGTGGAAAACTCCCATCTTGCCGAAAGATCACTTCATCACAGTAAAAAAAAAATACATTTCATTCCTTCCAGACCTTCTACTACCAAGGAGAAAAGTGAAAATGTGGTGCTAAATACCTAAAATGTGTTTTCCAAACCCTTTCCAAGTCACACTCTGATGTTATCGATACTTCTAAAATTGTTGTTTCTGAAGCAGTTGCTTTCATAAGGAGCCTCAGAGATGAGTTAAAATAATATTAGCGGCGCGGCGTTGTTCTTGGCGTGTTCTGGAGTTTACTTGCAACTCCAAAAATGTTGGGCGTTGTCTTTTTGTTTGCTGGGTCCGGCGCATTGGGACAGCTCTGTGTACACAGTGAGACAAAGAAGGAAAACTGTGATTAAACATCCCAATCTGTCATGTAGTTCTGCCCCCGCTGCAGCTCACATTTAATGCTCACACAGACGGGACAAAAACATCCCAGTTACAAACGGACGAGAACTGGTGCCTGGAGCCCCTCTTCCCTGAGGGGAAACCCCTGGGGTTAACCAAAAACCTTGCCTAACTGCAACTTGATTTTTATCCTGAGTGATATTAGCAATATTACTAATTACATTGTGGTCTTTCTCAGGGTGTAAACTATTTCAAGGGAAGAAACGATGTGTTACTTGGTCCGCAGAGGAACCAGCTGTGGCTGTGAATAACCAGGTGTTGTGTTTGACATTTCGTAGCTGTTCAGCATCTGGAACAGTTTAAAGGATCCTCTACAGTAATTAGAAAAGAGAACTTTACTGCCTTCAACTGTTATTTAGTGGTGCTCATGGGGTACATGTTTCTTTTTTATGAGCAAATTTTAGAGTAGATGGATGGGGAAAATTGGAAATTAAGCATAATGTAAGTGAGACCAGCATTTGGCTCGTTGAGCCCTGGTCGCTGTGACTCCTGGTGGCTCCAGCTGACCCCTTTGCCAGCAGGTCCTGCGCAGGCTGGGGGGACACAAGTGATCTCAGTCTCTGCTACAAAGTCTTGACTCCTGTTAAGAGTATGTATCTAAATTACTTCAGAAAACTATTTTCCTTCTAAAATATGGATTCCATCATAGTTTCTGCCGTAAATGAGACTGTATGAGACACGTATTACTTAGAGTTGGCCTTTTACAGCACTTTTTCTTCTCAATATTTGTAAATACCAGAGCTGACTGAGTCGTAGTTTCTGCCATAAATGAGACTGTAGATTCTCAAGATAAACACATATTACTTAGAGTTAGCCTTTTTACAGCACTTTTTCTTCTGAATATTTGTAAATACCAGAGCTGACTGAGTCTGTGTGTACAGGTGAGGGAACGGAGTGACTGTAAGGAGCAGATACGAGGAGGGTGATGGAAGCTTCTGCCTTGGTGTTGAGACCCATTTTGTGCCTGTCTGTCCATTCCTGTGACATCTAGAACCTGAAATCCAGTTTGGATGTAGCCCAGTCTGATAGGTACCCACCTGGTGTATCTACAGCACTTTAGAGCTGAGGGCCAAAGAGGAAGACTGGCATCTAGGATTTGCATCCTGACCAAGGTAGGTGTGAAAGAAGCACCAAACTGTTGAATTATTTGAAGATTTAGGTCCTTCTGGGCTTTATGTGCTTTTCAGTTTTGCATGAAACATGCAGGTGCTGTCACTGGGTCTGTCTGATTTACCAAACCCCACTCATGAGGGCAGCAGCAGATACAGGAATCCATGTGTTCTTTTGGTCATGGGATACTCCCTGAAGGCAGTGGCAGATATGGGAACGGCGTGCCAGGAATCCGTGTGTTCTTTTGGTCATGGGATACTCCCTGAAATGGTGAAGCCTTTACCTCTCAGGAAAGTGTTTCATGACAATCATGTTTTATTCCATTGGCATTTTAATTTCCACCCAACTGCTTTTTCTCAGACAATTGAGATGTCAGCCCGAGTTCCTAATGATGGGTTGTGAGACACAATCATGTGGGAAAACAGAGAGAACCAAAATCTGTGAAATTAATCACTCCACCCTTTTTCACCCCCCTGGCGTGAAATATTGTCAAACTAAATGACTAAAGTGGATTAAATGCTGAGCTGTTCACATGAAAAACAGGATGTGGTTTGTGCAAGAAGATGAAATATTTAAGTATTATTTGGTATATAATTGGTGAATTAATCCTGTAATGGTTTTGCTGCTAAGGAAGAGGGAGCTTGGTCTGTAAGTTGTGCCTATGTGGAATGTTCGTTATCGTTTAGGCAATCTGAGTGTCTGCAATGGGAGTTGGTGAAGAATAACTAATGTGCCTGATTTCACACGAGGGGTTTGGTGTGTAGGTAATCCTGTGAGACTCTCTCTGAAAAACATATCTCTCTTTCTGTCTGGTTTATTCTTATTTCTGCTGAGGCATTTGGATGGTCGTGTTCTTCAAATTACTGACAAGTGAACATGCTGAGACATTTTCTTGATTTGGTAGCCGTGTGCATAATTAATTACATACTACCAGTTGTAGACAATCCTTGTCTCATTTCTTTGCCCACTCTACCATGAATATCATCCGTGTTCAGGGCAAGAAAGACAAATATGTGCAGTGAAAAAAAAGCAGGGACACCTCCCACCAGCCGAGGTTGCTCCAAGCCCCCTCCAACCTGGCCTTGAACCCCTCCAGGGATGGGGCAGCCACAGCTTCTCGGGGCAACCTGGGCCGGGCTCTCACCACCCTCACAGCAAAGAATTTGGAGAAAATAATTTAAAAATGAAAGGAAGGTGTAGGCACGTCGGCAAGGAAAGCCTATGCTGTTTGAAGAGCCGGCACTGAGATTTGCAGATGTGGTGAGATGCTGTCACTGAAGTTTCTTGGACAAACTACTGAAGTGGGAGCTTTGGGAACATCCCTGTGCGCTTTGGCTTATTCCACTTTAGCACAGCTTCATAAAAAACCACCTCCCTGGTAGGAGGAACGCTGTGGTGGCTAGCTCGCTGCTGCGGTGGCCACCAGTGCGACCAGCGGCCCAGGGCAGGCTCACTCCTGGTGACGGAGCCAGGTTTAAGGTGGCTTTGGTGGCTCGGGAGTGGCCGGTGTCCGGTTGCCAGGTTGGTAGCCAAGCCCCCAGCGACCGTTGGTGGCCACTGGGCCCAAACAGGCACACAGGGGCTGGCCCGTGTCGCTGGGCTCCCCCGGCGCTCAGCCGCAGGGGCTCCCCCTGCTTCCTAGGAATAAACTCCTTCCGACACTCAGCCTCCCTCTGCAGTTCGAGAAAGGACAGTTTTACAGCCTCAGGTGACATCTCCCCTTCCCGGCGGTTTGGGTGTTGTGTTGCTGTTTGCTGAATGCACTGACGTGTCTTACCCGGCCTTGTCACTTGGGGACTTCGGTGTGGCTTGTCCCTGCGCCCGAAATTTAATCCCTTGGGGTATATATATTACATGTTTTGAAAGCATTTTTGCAATGGGAAAATTTGGACCTTCTCCTGCTACCCCACTTTGGTTATAATAGGGATTTTTATTTCAGCACTAAAATAAAGCTGTTTGTCTTGTTCCGTAGCCTTCGAGTCCAACTGTACATCAAGATGGCAAAGCAAAAGCATAAGAATTCAAATGCTGTGGAAGAAGAGGAGGTGGAGGAAGATGATAAAGAAGAGAATACAGACTTGAATAGGATCTCCCTGGAAAGCACTTTTGAAACTGAAACCCCAGAGGTGGCTGGGGGTGGTGAACATCAGACCCCAGAGGGGGAGAGCAACAGGCTGCCCCTGTCTGAGGAACCGGATGGCTCCCACACTGTCACCTGCACCTTCACAGTGTCACTAGCTGTCCCTGCCCTGCCTACAGGCAAGTACCTAACACAGCTTTTCCTAAGAACCCTTCTTTTATTACTTTGTCAATTTGTGTGGCAGAGCCCTGAATGGTTTAAGGAGATCGTGTCAGAAAAGGTGTTAATTTGAATTTTCCTGGGTAGATTGCTCAGGAAAGTGGCAGTGGGACACTGTTTATCATTGGGTGATTGTCACTAGTGACTGAAAACACTTTCCTGCTGCTGACTCCTCGGCAGTAACAGCTATTCAACTTGATGATCTTAACTGGGGCCTATTAATCAGTCCTTGCCTAATGATGAAAACAAAGGTGGATTTTGGTGTGTATACTCAGCATGGCTAATTATGATTTTGTGTAGTTTAAGGGTGGTATTTTAATTTTAGGAGAAGGTGGCAGCTGATCAAGGGAGGAGGTGTGATTCTTCTGGGTCTGGCAGGAGCAGGTACCTTCAGCCTTCCCTGGAGCAGAGCAGAACTCTGCGGGGGGGAGTCATCTGGGTAATAGGACACACATGCCTTGGGAATTGCCATCACTGGACCTTATGCTGCAGGAACAGAGGACAAAGGGAAGTTCCTGGAACTTTATGGACCATTACGATAGTTAAACCTGGGTCAGAACTGCAGAGTTGGACGCTGGGATGAGTGTTTCATGTTCAGCAGTCACCCGTGTTGAGTCATTTTTCTGTTGTCACACTGGGACGCCTGTCACATTTGGTGATTGCAGAGAGCATTGATTCCCCCTGAAAGTATCACCTTTGACAACGTTTAACACTTCCAAATAATTCTAATATTCTCTCTAGGACAAGAGCGGAAGAAATCCAGTCCCCCTGATGAGCAAGGGAAGACAGGTCAAGCTGATGAATCAGGAGCTGCTCCACGAAAGCAATGTCGCTATCGCACGGAGTGCTTCCTTCTGCCGGATGACCTCGAACCCAGAAAACTGGATTTGGTGGTGTCTGGGGCAGTTGCAAAGCTATTTACAGAATCTGATACCAAGGTAAAAGATATAATAAAAAAAAAGTAATCCAAAATGTCGTATACAGAAGGTGGGAGAATGTTTTCAAATATGGAGTGATGTAGTTGCATGGTGATTTAACAGCTGCTTCGGCTTTATCTGCACACACAGATAGAGAACAAATATCAAGGACAGAACTTGACTCTGCTTGTAAGAGGCCGGTGGATTTCAGAGTATTTTAATTCTATTTTCCTCTAGATTATCAGTTTAGTCGGGATTATAGCTTTTATCTCTCAAGAGCCAACATAATAATATAATAAGTTGAAGGAAACTATCTGTTTTATTAACAACAAAGAAAGAAATGAAATTTATGCCTCTGATCTTTGTTGAGGAGAAAAAGATTTCTAAGGTGCTTGGAGAATTAGTCAGCATGTGATAGGAGTTCTTCAGGACTTGTCAGCTCCTGTAAAGGTTTTCATCTTTTCTTTTAATAGGCTATTACACCCTGGGTTGAAAATGACAAGATGTGGATATCCTGGAGCCATAGTGTTGATATCGATGTCACTAATGAATATCTGATAAAACTGAGAGATCACAAAATATTTTTGCAAATCTGGGATACCAAGGGCAAAGCTTCCTCAAAAACAAAGCTTAGGAAACCAAATGTTATTTCTTCACTAGAAGGGGATGAAGAGGCTGTTGGTAAGTCTAATGCAAACAGGCATGTTATAAAACTTGCCTTGGAATTGTGACTGTACCTATTGGAAAGTTATTGTTGAGATTATTTGACATTCATATGTCACTCCCACTAAAATAATCCCTATTTGTTGGTGTTTTATTGAATACATGAGTCAGTCTCTGAAAATTTTGATGGCAGGAAAATATAATTAGGCCTATAATGTGAACCTTTGAAAACTAGTGAGTTATTTGAGACTGTGGGGTACTAATGGTAGTAACAGACTCATTTTTCAAAGATCGATGTTTCTTTTTGTGGTCCTGAGAAGCAGAAAGACTTGCACAGCCTCGTTGTTATGCTGAGCTTCTTTCCATTTCATCTGCTCCCCCTTGTTGTCTCCCACAACCCCATAACTTGAATCTATCCCTAAATTTTAGCCACACTAGCTTGAAGGTCAGTGGTTTCAAAGACAGCTATTTTATAATTTATAGTTAATTTTTATTAGTTGAGTTTATTTAATTAGAGGAGAGGCACTTTGTTTGGGCTCTTACTGACATGTCCTTAGTAAATACCAGACCACTAAGGAGGAGATGATAGATAGTGGGAAAAGGGGAAGAGGTGCTGTGGAAAAATCATTGCTCCAAATTGGAATGGTCCAACCAGACTAAGCATTGAAGTCTAAACCAGGGAATTTATTTTATTTTCTTTTTCCTGATAGATGGGGTAAAACACACAGTGCTACTGCAAAGAAAATTGTTTGAAGAGAGTCAGCCAGCACCCAGCCGTACCAAACTCAAAGCAGCAAAGGAATCCAAGGCACAGGAGGAGTCCTCAGCCCTTCCATTTGCAGGTATAAGGATATGGAAACTGGAAGGGGCTTAGGGGTGAAGGGGGACAGGCAGTGCAGTGTCACCTGGAGAATGGGTGAGCAGGAACAGGACTGAGGAATCTGCTGAGGGAACAAGGCATTGCAGGAAGACTGAGGGCATCATAGTTAGAATGAGTTTTTAATGGCTTTAGAATAGAATTGGGACAGAAAAGAGATTTAGCTGGCTTACAGAAAGTTTTCAAGGGCATTTTATTATTAATTATTAATTAATAATATTTATATATTTATATAATATAATATGTAGGTATTAATAATATTTATATATTAATTATAATATGTATTATATTAAAAAGCATCGGCGTTTTCTGCTGCTTCATGTTTCTCAGTGATTGAATCAACATCTAGAACCACAAGTTTCCAGATTCTTGCTCTTTCACTGCTGGTGGCCAATATCTGGCATCCGGACACCAGTGGGATCTCAGCTGCATGCACTTTTGTAATCTGGCCTTGCCTTGTGGCTGTTGACAACCTGCTGCAAAACTGCCACAAATAACACCAAACCCTGGCCTTGCTGCATTGTGCGGTAAGAAAAAAGCTAACTTTTGAAATGCTCTTTCACTGAGCAACACAATGACCAGAGCACCATGGAAAAATGTGGTTAATCACCATCTGGGGGCTCGGTTGCATATATGTACCAAAGGGCTGAATTCAAGCAGCGTAGACCTTTTATTTTGGAAATTTCTGCTTTTAGGCAGTTGGCCTTGCAATTTAACTAGTTGTTTTCATAGGAAGTTTGCTTGTTTGTTTCTTTTTGTTTGTTTTTTCCTTAATTTTAGATTTTTATGGTGAAAACAAACCTAAGAGCTAGGCCCTCCCTCTGTGTTATGTCTGTGATTTTGTTAAGTACACAAACAAAAATGGACTTGCCAAGTATTTAGATAGAATTATGCAAAGGGAACCCTTGTTACTGCAGTAAGGTACTGGGAAGTCAGGAGATAATGTGATTTCCTCCTATATCAGCGTGTGGTGCGTGGCTGGTTACACTGTGTTGAGGAGCACTGTGTCACCAGCTTTGGTTGGGTATCTTTTTACATGTTTTTCATTTTTTTCTAATGATTAATGACATGCACCATCGGAGGAGGAGGAGGAGGAGATGAATTCCTGGTGTAATTAGGCTGGCGGAATGCATCTGTACCATCGGAGGAGGAGGAGGAGATGAATTTCTGGTGTAATTAGGCTGGCGGAATGCATCTGTATTTTGGTGGTAGTGCCATCTAGTGATGGGCCCAATACTGAAGTCTGTAGAGGTAGAAAGTGTGTTCAAGGAGATAAAGGACAAGAACAGAGCTTCTGGTTCAGATGAGTGGAAAAATGCCAATGTTTTGCCTACGTGCTAACCCGTTCTGTGTTAAGGAAGAAAGGAAAGTCCTGAAGGGCTCTTTATATTTCTTTGCATTGACTTTGAAAAACTCTGTGCACTGTTACAAGTTGTGTACAAGTACTTGTGCTCTGTGAAACAGGTAAGTAGTTGCAGTCTCCCAATATCCTGCTTATAGCCCGGTGAACACCTACTATTGCCTCGCTTCAGCTTTGCCCACTTCCAGATAATGGCAAGTTTTGTTCTTTATTGTGTGGAACATGCTCAGCTATTCAAGTGCAAATTCTACCTGCCATTCATACAACGTTGATTTGCTCTAATCTCACTGTAATTAAGACCTACATCTCACTGTAATTAAGGCTGAGACATTGTGAGGCTAAGTGTTCAGTAATTAATACTGAAATTTGTGACTGTGGAGTGTTGTTCTGTAATTAAATGACATTTAAAGACAGGTGTAATGTACCATACTTCTGGTATATATAAAACATTGAAAAAATGTCTGGATGTTCGTACATATTGTGTAAGGGATCTGGACACTATTAACATTACCTTTTTTTGATAAGTAGTCACTAGAGTAGCAATTGGAACAGTTTATTAAAATAAATAAGGAAAACTAATGTATTCTCATCTATGCAGTCTTTCATGCATTAAGATTGCCATCAGTATCTACTTCAGTACAGACATTCAGCACTAACAAAATGTTATTTGGGTATTCTCACCTCATTTTTATGACTTCTAAATTCCTAGTTTTGTTTTAAATTGCAGCATGGTAATTACCACAGAACTTATTTTTCTAGGAAATAAAGTATGACTTCGTAATATTTCAGTTTCTCTGAATGATCTCTCAAAGTATCTCAAAGCGGATTGTATTTTATGTATTTTAGGCTTATTCAAACTCATCCTTGACACAGAGACAAAAATTAAATGGATCAGGATTGCATAAGACTTCCCATCATGTTTTCCTAGAGCTTTACAGATGCATTTTCTTAGTCTTACGGGAGTTATCAAAACATAGAAATACTTAATAACAAATGTAAAACCTGTTTTATTTCAGCAGAAGAACCTGATCTGAATGGACGAGCAACATCTGACTGTGCTTCGCCACATCCATCAAGACCAGCTGACTTGCGTGCAGTGAGGTAAGAACGTTGCACTTCTGTTGGGAAATATTCATGTGTTAAAAATATAGTTGAAGATATGTAATTCTTTTTCAGTATCTGTGGGGGTTTTTTAACGTTTTCTGATTATACTGTGGTTTCAGAAGGGGTTAACTACTGCTTTTTGCACCCCTGCCTACTGATTGTAGGAGAGGAACAAAAGCATTAAGATCCCCTGAGATACATCAAGCTTCTTGTGGTGTATTTGGCAAGTGTGAGGTGGTGGCAGAAGTGAGGGGTGGTGTCCAGGGCACCTTATTCTTTGGAATATTGAAGGTAGTGTCAGCAATAACAGCTGCCCTGGGACCTCAGTGAATCAGCTCTGTAACTAGGAATTTGGGGTCACATTACCATCAGGTAACCTTCTAAAGCAATTAAGGTAATCCTTAATTGACACTGCTGTAGTATCATAGTTCCTTATTTGTTCTGCTCTAGTTTTAGGAAGTTACTCACTCATTTGGTTTAATAAGTCGTTTGTTTTCACAGTTTTCAGTGGTAAATTGCTAAAAATCAGCATGTAACATTGTAGAAAAGGTTAGAGGGTTCAAGAGTTGAGAAACATTAAAAAATACATATTTTCTTGGGTATTATTCATAATGGAAATCTTTGCACTTGAAATAGAAATTAATCCTGAATAGGCTCTATCTCAAATACATCATCCAGAATGTCATCTAAAAAATATAAACTCTTAAATTGCTTTCTTAAAGTTACCATTTTGTTTCTAAAAAATTAATCGGTGATAGCGCGTTAACAAATGCACTCCTGTACTCTGTGATGTGCTTTCTCTTTTTATGCTGCTAAGCAAGTTTAAGAATTTCTTGTGACTTAGTCAGATTGTTACTCTGCTCAAAAGATAATGAAGTCAATGAAAGGCCTCTTAATGCCTTCAGCACAAATTCATGAGCTCAGCTTTCCAGATGGATGTTTCTGAGTGTTTTGCATGAAGCAAGAACACTACTGTTGCTGGTGAGTGCATCCGTCAGGGGATCCTGCCGTTCCCTGGGAGGGGTTTGTGTGGCAGAAAGAGAACACATGTTTGTAGAGATGAAGAAAATCAGCAAGAACACTGAATTGCACATGGCAGCAAAATCTTCAGTTTATATCAGATAGTTTTCATTTAAGTGCAATACCATCTTTTAAAAAAAAACATTCTCCCAGTGTTTGGGAAGTGCAGGCACCTTGCTTTAGGTTCCTAGCCTGCATTCTTCAGAGCTGCTACAGACCAGATGCTTCATAGAATTATAGAATGATTAGAGTTGGAAGGGACCTTAAAGACCATCTAGTTCCACCCCCCTGCCCTGGGCAGGGACACCTCCCACCAGAGCAGGTTGCTCCAAGCCCCCTCCAACCTGGCCTTGAACCCCTCCTGGGATGGGGCAGCCACAGCTTCTCTGGGCAACCTGGGCCAGGCTCTCACCACCCTCACACCAAAGAATTTCTTTCTAATATCTAGTCTAAAGCTCAACCTCTATCTGTTTAAAACTGTTCCCCCTCATCCTATGGCTCCCCTCCCTGATCCAGAGTCCCTCCCCATCCCTCCTGTAGCCCCTTCAGGTACTGGAGGGCCATGATAAGGTCTCCTTGGAGATTCCCTTCTCCAGACTGAACAACCCCGACTCTCTCAGCCTGTCCTGGTGCTTCTTCAACCAAAGTGCTGTTTTGTAACATTTGAGAGAATCTTGATTTTTAATCAGTAGTACAGCCTTTGCTGATTGAGCTATTTCCTTCTGCATTGTATTTTTTAATATGAGAGTAAGTATCATGTGATTGCATGGCAAAATAAAATGTGGCCCAGTGAGACTTTGTAACGGCTCGAATCAGTTGGGCTGCTCTATCTTATATATCTGTTTCTGATAACAGAAGTGGAAAAAACAGCCTCCAGAATGGAATTTTATTTGTTAAGGGCTTATGGGAGGAGATACTCGATGCAAATGTGATTTGGTGGTGTTGAAACTAAGTAGGGTTTTAACTCCAAAAATAGCAGTGGTGAAACCTCGTTTCACTCAGAATGGGAATTGTTGCTGCTCTGTGTCCTGTGAGCGTGTCCTTTCTGCTCAAGGATGGCTGTCCAGGTTGGGACTACTTAGTGTAGAACTCCAAAGAACCTTACTTTGGACTTGCTCTGCATTTCAGAAGCATCTTTATTGCTGAAGTATAAGGATATTTGAAAGATATTTGTTCAATTTAAGTCTAAAAGTGTGGCTCCTTATGCTGCTGCTGTTCCCTTGCATGTGTTCATATTATCTGTCATGCCAGGAACAAAATTCTGGTGAAACAGGAACAAATGAGATCAGTATTTTGCAAAATTAGGAGCATGTGTTTAGTCTTCATGCAAGCATAACTTTTGCTACAGATTAGTTGGAACAGAAATCCTTTTTAGGTAGAAATATTGTAATAGTTTTCAAAAAAAAAAAAAAACCACCAAAATCATTACTGGAAACTTATTTAGAGGTGTTACAGTCTAATGACACAAGAGCTGTGCGAGAATATTTATCAGGGTATTAGTTCTTCTGGGAAAATCCTACCTCTTCAAAGTGAAGCTCCGACAGGATAAAATGAATTAATGCTGTATCTGTACGTACATTTTCACTTCTATTGTGGGTGTGGGGATGGTTTTTCTAACTTGGTCTTCAAAGAGCTATTGTTATTGGAATGGTTGTTGTACATCCCTACTGCTCTTCCATGTACCTGAACATTCTCACTTCTGTTGTGGGTCTGGGGATGGTTTTTCTAACTTCATGTTCAAAGAGCTATTGTTATTGGAATGGTTGTTCCTTGTGGGGGACGAGCGAGTTACCTGACAGGCAGCCTACCTGTTTATTCTAAAAGTAAATCTGAGATTCAGGAAGTTATATTTTACCAATTTGATTATTGGCAAAAGTTTTGCTGCTCTTTTGTGCACCTGGAAAAGAATGTTTTTTTCCCAAAGAATCAGCTTCCTTCTTCCCTCATTTGATGTCAGAAGCCTACAGCCAGGAAGTATGATAGTCACAATAATTGTATGCTGCATTTCTTCTCTCAAATTGGTTCCAGAAGAATCCGTAACACTGCAGTAAGTGTGACCTGATACCCTCTGTGCCTTTGCAGTCTGCACTGGGGGGCTTCCCAACAAACCCACCAGGAAATTCCATGTTACCTCCCTGAACTCCACACTGCAGTTTCCTTCATCTGTCCCCAGCACCTGGAGGTTGCTATCTATAGTGATGGTCTCTGGGGTCTCTGATTCTTTGCAGGGATTTTTCTTTTTTTATTGAGGCAAATGGAACAGCCTTGTTGGTTATAGTTTTAGCACGTCTGGTTTTTTTCATAGGATGATGGTTTACTTATAAAACCACATGTACAATTTTTTTTTTTATTTAGATTTTTTGTTCCCCAAGCAATTATTTTGGCAGTCTGTCATTCACTATTTTGGCAGTCTGTCATTCACTACTTCGCTAACCATATATTAACTATTTTGACTGCATGTTTTTATAGGAATACCAAAATCTCAGAAAGCTGTATGCTTAATGTTGATCACTTTTAGTGCTGCAAAACCACGCGACCAACCTTCTCTCTCCCCGCTCCCAGCTGTTACTGTGATCTTTTTTGAGCTGTCTCTGAGGATAGGTAGAGTTATTTGGGAAATGCTTGGCTTAATCTGCGTAATGAATTATTATTTTTAGTGCCATAAATATACACTGCTTCAAGCTTCACAGCCACAGCCGTGATTCATTGCTGACTGCATGGACGCCTGTCTGAATTCAAATGATGTTTGTGAAGCAGCTGAGGGACTTAGACCTCTGAGATTAAAACTCCTGGGAGGAGGAGGAGGAAGAAGAAAGGATGTTTGAAAGATTTAACGCCAAGGATAAAGGGAAGATGTTGCATGTAGTAATAAAACTGAGAGAAAACGCTGTAGATTGAATATGATAATCTGGAGACAATATTCATCCCCAGAAATCCTTACAGAGCTCGAGGGGCAGTGGTCAGGGAGAGCTGTACTTTGTATCCCAAGGTCACACTCGCAGGTGACATGGGGTTGTTGTAGTCTATGTTATTAGCAATAAAATGTTTGTTACATTAAAATCTTAAAAAAAATAAAAAAAGAAGCCATAATATATGTGTTATTTGTTATTTAAACACTGTGCCTCTCAACACATCATAAATTTATTTTCAAACTGCTATTATTATAAATCACGCCTATAGAGCTAAGCAAAACAGCGAGCAGGTTTTGTGACTACTGCTGTAAGAATCTGGACAGACATTGTATTTCCTGGAACCACATATAAAATCCTACCACTGGTTCTGTCACCCCCTTGTGAGGAGTCTCCAGGGCTGAAGGCATTCTTCACAGAGAAAACTGTGGTGTGTCTTGTACCACTGCCCTCCAGGTACAATCTATATCCGCGATCTGAAGGCAGGGGCAACCAGATCATTTATTCAAGAGATTTAAAATGCAGTGAGATTCATCTCTGTTAAACAGCCTTTTCTGTTGTTTCCGATTAATAGTCATTTTCCAGCAGCAATAATATGTCAAATTTGTAAGGAGCTTGTGTATTTTAGGGAATAAAATGTGTGATGTCTTGTGGGGAACCGTTTACAGCAGTGGCTGGTATTACAAAGCTTGGGACCCTTGTTACTGCTGAAACTCAGTGGCACCATTTTCCCCCTAAGAAAGCAGTTGCTCCTATAATAGAGGAAAACTATTAACTCTAGATTTCTGGTCTGACTGTAATTATATGACAGTGTATACCTAATGTGAACAGCAAGGGAACAGACAGATTTCTCTTTCCTCAAAAAGCAAAGCAGAAGGACAGAAAAATCTGTAAGTAAGGTATTGTTTTCCTTTATGCATCTTTTCAGGTACTTGGTTTTAGATTGGATGTTCTTCACGGAAAGGGTTATCCAGCATTGGACTGGGCTGCCCAGGGAAGTGGTTGAGGCACCATCCCTGGAGGTGTTCAAAAGCCGGGTTGACCTGGTCCTCAAGAATATGGCTTAGTGGGGTTTTTTTCGTTGTGGTTTTTTTTTTTTATTGCTTATTTCTTATTTATTTTTTTGCCAGAGTTAGGTTGATGGTTAGACTAGATGATCTTTAAGGTCCCTTCCAACCTAGGTGATTCTATGATTGGTTTCTTACTTGGAAGAGAAGGACCATGTACCCTGTTGATGCCCTTCTGGGATCTCCTTTATAGTCTGGCAATTGAGCTCTTTTAGACTTGAAATATTTTTTTTTTAAAAGGACATGTTTTGGTGGAGTCATTAGCATGGCAGGGATTTATTATTTTTGTTTATTTTCTGCTATTCTTAAATAACTTCATATCTTTTTAATGGTTTCAGAAGTGTGATGTTTGCAAAAATTCTGACACGTGAAGCAGACAAAACAGCCACCACGAATGGTGAGTTCTGCATGGAACTATGGATTTGAAAAGAGAGACACAAAATGCTGTATATCTTTTTTTTAAAAAAAAAAAAAAAGTTCAAGACTAAAACAAAGAAAAAAAAGAGTTCTGGGACCTATGCTTTAGTCCTGGCTCTGCCATGAGCTTTCTATGTTTCTTCTGAAGCTAATAAAACCTTGGTTTTCAGTTCCCTGCGTTAGTAGTGCAAAGCAGGGGTGATGGTGGGCCTTTCCTACCACTTGGAGTGTTCCAGGGGTGAAGTGATGGATATTTGCAACGATGAAATTTGTAATAGGGTTAAAGAGTAATGTTGGAGCTAAAATAATTCTTCCAACTGCAGAATTATCAAGCTGTGGATGTTTCTTATCACTTTCATCGCTTTTTCCACTAGAGGCCAGGTTTTGATCTGTGATTTACAGTCGGTTTTTATTTCCTGTCCTTGTTCATTATAAGAAATGAAAACCCACAGCCCCGCTGAGTGATATTTTGCTTGCTCATCTGTAGCTTCCAATTGACAAAGGCCCTATAAAAGATGGGAGGAGATAATAAAACTGCAACAACGGATGCTAGAGCGTGTATGAACTCAGCCATGGTAAATAGTGTGTGTTTCTGGCCAAAGGCTGGATCTGGGTGAAAGGAATTTTGGGAATAATTGCTCAGCATCTAAGAAAATGACAAATATTAATGAGTTTTATCTTCATGGTATCCTTGTGAAGGAAAGGAATGGCAATATTCCTGTTATAAAATACAGGTTTCTGGAAGCAATAGAGGACATATCACAAAGAGTACAGTATATGTGTCAAAATGTATATATGCAAGGGAAAAAGAGTAAGGTGGCAAAGATAAATTTAAATTTGGTAATTCCCTGAACTTCTAATGCTTGCTGCTGCAAATTTAACTTCCTTGTGAAGTAGGGATTTTATAAATATGTATTTTATATATATGTATATATATATACACAGACATACATCTATGTGTGTGTGTATATATATGTGTATAGTGGACTATGCAATGGAATTTTGAGCATATTGAAATAGTAGCCTAAGCTGGCGTTAAAGTGTTTAATCGACATCTTTTCCTAAGGACAATGCTGAATTATGCCATCTGCTGTGTTAAATTTTAAATTATTTCTTGCATTAATTTGCAACAAAACGTTTCCTCCTTCCTGCTCAGTCCAACTCTGCCTTCCATCGACAGGTACAAGGGGTTCTGGCCGTAAAGGGAACATTGAGTCTCCCGTGGAAAATCCTGACGTGGCTTCCCTGCAGCTGGACCTCATGCCTCTGCTCGCAGGTACTGTCCAGGGCTCCTCCTCTGCAGGGTCAGCTGGCTGGAAAATGGCTAGAAAGAGCCAGAAGATGAAATTCCCTAGGGATACAAGCTGTCTGGTTAAGAAAGATGAGGGATTTGGTTTTGGTCTGGGGGATGTCTGCGCTCTGAAGGGCTGGATGTCAGAAATAACTGCATTGTAGCTCTCCACCAGCACGTACACCTGAGTTCTTGTATCCTGTTTGATTTAGAATGTGTTGGAAGTGAGATATTGGTCAGAGTAGAGAGGGTTATTTCTGTTTTGGTTTTTTTTTTTTGCCTGTAACTACATTAACATTCATTATAAATGTATGTTGTCCTATTTTTGTGTGCAGTGAGTTAAGTCCCCCCTTTGTTCTGTGCACGCAGACAGAAATAGGGCTGTGTCATGTGGCTGCTGACTGTATGCATGTGGCAAAGCTGTTTGCAGAGAGACCAGTTTGTTTAAAGGTGCTTCTTTGCCTTTAACGAGAAGTTTAATTATGATTAAAAGTCTCTGAACCGCTTTAATTTTTGTGTTTATGCAAACTGTATATTGCAGCTTCAAAAAGAAGTAAACTTTCAGCAGTTAGCCCAAGTTGGGGTTCTGACACTCTTTGGGGGCTACTGTAAAGGACAGATAATATTTGAAGCTGTTAAAGCAATACTTTTGTTTCATTTTAATGCAAATTCAGTGGAGATTTGAATTAATTGAATCAAATATGGGTGCCTTGATGGGTTTGCTTCTATAACAGTATTTAATCTTGTATGTTTAAAAAGGTGAAAAATCGGTGATTGGTCATCTGGAAGAGAACAATCCTAAAGTTTTAGATGCTTACATGACTTTCACTGTGGAAACACCTCTTCTCTCTGAGAGACAGAGACGTGAATTGAATCCGCTCGTGATAAGGATTAATTCTGCTACCTGCCTCCCAAACACACCTGTGCCAATCCAGGTGCTGCAGGTAACATTTACTGCTGCTTCGGGCTGAAAGAATCACCTTCTTACCCTCAAGGAGCTTTGCTTACAATATGGGCATGATGTTAGAGATAACTTTCCTTATTAGTAGAAAATTGGAGAATCTGACTGATGTATTCCCTGAAAAACAGCGATCCTTGTGTTTTCCAAGGGCAACAATTTATATATAATCATCCCATTTTAATTTCTGCACAGCGGATCTTGAGTAAACCAGAGAAGAAGCTCAGTTCAGTTGCAGCTCTATGTTGTTTGAAACAATTTGCTGACAAGTCAGGGCAATATTATTTAACTTGAAAAACCAGCGAATGTGCCACATCTTAAAAAACGCTGTGCACAAAAAGTTCTATATTGGTGAGAATATAGTTTAAAGTTTTGGTCTTATATTTGTAAATATAAGAGGTGAGTTAGAAAATATATTCTCTTGTCAAATGACTGCATTTTTAGGCTTAAAGAAATGCTATTTTAAAAAGAGGTTTTTTCCTGAGTATTATGTATTGTTGATGTGAAAGTGAAATTAAGGTCAAAGACCTTTGATTTCAGGAGCTATTTTGTTGATCCCTGTCTGAAGTGGAATTGTAAGGGAATAGTACATGAAAGATCTGGTCCCAGTTGCATCAGCATTAGTGATTTGATATTGTTTTTGTGAAAATGATATGGTAATATAAAATAATGAATGAACCCCCTTGTTTGCTTCCCCAGATTTGTAAACAAATGGTCAATGATGGAGATCATACGGCCCATTCCCTACAGTATCTCTGGCTACTTGTTGAATTTCCTAACTTACAGCTATAGGCATTTTATTTTGGGCCTTGAATCCTACACCTATGAATGAATAGGGAGAAACAAAAAGGGTCTTGGAGTCCTTGCAGTCCCCAGCACGCTCCCTTAATGACCTAGAATCAATTAGAGTTTTTCAAATGTACTTGGAAAGCTGAGAACAGGCAAATGAAAGGGACAGTATATTACCAAAAGCTGGGATTCAGGCCTGTAGAACGGCCTCTTTACTGCCTTGGAAGACCATAGTTTGTGCTATGAAGGACATCCATAATACTTCATTTACTAGAAAAGCCAATTGTTCTGTGAGGTTAAAAATAAAAAGGAAAAAGGTTAACCCTGCAAATACCTGTTTCTCCTCATTTTTCTGTTCTTTAGAGACTGTGTATTCCCACCTACTGCAAATACAAGTTTCATAACTTTCCACCTCATCAAACTCATGGACAAGTCCATGGAACTCACGTCTACTTTAAGGACATTAATGTACTGCTAACGGGGACGATGAAACCTGGGGAATTGCAGAGGTGTCTTAGAGGTCCACCTTTGGAGATTGAAGTTCACGACCGGGATAGAAACATGGAAAACAACATAATAAAGCCCTGTTTGTTTGGGGAAGATGAAGCAGATGAGCACGTGGGCAAGGTGAGCTTCCTTGCTTGCAAATCCACAAGCTGTAATTCTTCCACAAAGAACCAAGTGTGGCACCCACACGGGGTAGCTAAAGTCAGTCTAACTGATTTATTGTTGGATAAAAAGCACTTGACTATCACTGCTCCCATTCGTAGCTGCTCAGCTCCAGATACAGCTGCTTTTGGTGAGGAGGATAAAAAAAAGACAGAATCAGTGAGTAGTTCTTCCCCACTGCCTATGGGAGATTATCTAGAGTCAGACTCACTTTTGAAAGTGAGCGTGGAAATAGCTGTGCCCTTGGGAATGCAAGCAGAAAGCGCTGATGCTCAAGTCACAAATTGCCCATATGGTTGTATAATCTACATTTTTGACTGCAGTAATTCATCTTTATTACATGATTTGGTGGAAGAGATTACAGAAATCAATGCTAAAGCCCTCCAGCTGGACTGCTATCCTGCACACTCCATCGGAATGGCTCTTGCTGCATCAAAACTGAAAAGCACAGTTGAGAAACTTTCCGAGTTGGATATTGTTACTGGTTTTCACTTACTGGATGGAGCAACTCATCTCTTTGTCTTGGAGGGATTAAAAGACAAAGCAATCAAGAGACTATGGGACAGACACTCTGAAAGGTAGGAGAGTTTGAGGTTTTTCATCAGTTATTTCCTTAGATTCAGAGATTTTAATTTGATTTATACCTCCCCTATCCCTTTCTATACAATGATATATGGGCAAGTACATAGCTGAGAAATCTATGTGGACTTAATGGATATGAGTCCCAGCGGCTGCTTCATTTGAGGCATAATCATCTCCTCTTCATCACGTTACATCACCCATCATCCATGTAAAAATGACAAGGATGGCAACATGTACTTTTTTTTTTTTTGTTAAGCTGCTACTTGGTTTGGGGAAACAGCACTATAACCTGCCATTCTAAATAATAACAAAAATACTTAATGGGATCTAAACCAAAAATAGTCACTATGAGCAAGCTGGACTTCAAGCTGTTTCTTCTTTTGAGTTTAGGGGAAAATGTGACAAATTCAAAGTGAGTGTCTCCCTCAAATTTTATGCTTAATAAATAATTGATACTTTTTCCGGCGCTGTAGCATGTTGTGAAAGGTTAAGGCTTTCCTGTGGTGTTTTGTTGGTTGTTTTTTTTTTTAAATGCAAGCCACTTCATTGCAGTTACTGAAATTATTTATTGCATGAAAAGTTGTCTCCTGGCAGTGCCTAGACTGAAGCTTTGTTTCACTGCTGCAGAATGATTTTTGGTAGTTGTAGTAGAAGTATTTCTATAATGCCTTTGTGGCTACAATAAGGCTGTTAAGGGGCACAACACTGTTGAAACTGAGGGGAGCTTCCTTTCACATGTTTGCCACGTGGCTTAAACCATATGCAACTCAGCTTTGTCGTGAGAGTTTTTATATTTTCTTTACAATATTTTGTCCAAGGTAATTTTTTTCAGGCCAGTGAAAAAATTTCACTTTTTTTTTTTCAGGCCAGTGAAAAACTTTCTGTGAAGTCAAGGCTGTAAGAGGTTCCATTGAAAGGACAAAAGCAAAGCAGTGTCATTAGAGAGAGTAATTGTGGTGCAGAACTGAGGAAACCCAAGATATGGGCTGATTGTTTTAACGTTGTTGTTGGGGTACTTTGTTACAGGACTTACAGTCGGGAAGATGGACAACTGGAAATACTGTATAACTCAGAACTCTCTTTCCATCAACGCCTCTATACGGACCTGGGAGCGATCTTCTATCACTTCTGCCTCTGCCAACCCCTCTTCACCATAACAAAGCACCCTCTGCTCTATGTCAGAGGGGTGGTTCCTTCGGCGTGTTTCCAAGCCTTGTCCAGGTATGGCTCCTCCAGATTCACAGGCAAGACATTACAAAATGAAACGTTGGCCAAGTAGAGTGAATATTTGAGACAAAAAAAATAGGACTGTTGGATATCTTTCCCCTGATGAAAGCAGTCTGTGGGCCTGAATTGCCCATAAGGGCAATTCAGGCCCACAGACTGCTTTCATCAGGCAATGCCCATCTGGGCAATTCAGATTTTAGATGAGGGATGGTGAGGCAAAAAAGCTTGGTTTTCTAACTGTGGACACAGTGGTGACTTGGTATTGGTGAGCCCGCTTTTGGTTTGGGCAGGAGATTACAATTTGTAAAGAAGAGAGGTGTATCAGTAGGATAGCACATCAGAAAATATCTGAACATAATTCAGATAGAAGAAAGAGAAAATTCTGGTGTCAGAAGCACCAGCTGGGAAGGATTTACTTCTCTCCCTGGTTCTCATAGAGGTGGTGCAGGATGGAGGAAAGGAAGAGGCCAAATAGGACTTGACGGAGCCAGAAAGTCACTTGAATTAAGTGGGGAATTCCAGAAACTATCTTCTCATGGTAACTAGAGAAAGGAAGAGTTTTGTGAGAGTTGGGGTGATATGTTTCCTGTTCCTGGCTTTTTGTTTGATTTATTTTTATGATTCATTGCTGGGTCTCCGCCAGGCTGCTCACTTTGTCAGTGTGCAGGTATCCACAGCTGTTTGCCTTAAAGCATCTCTGACGTTACATCTCGTGAGATGGATTAAGGAAAAAGAAAGTGGGTGAAGTCTTATGTGCAAATCTCTATCTATCTATCTATCTGTTTTAAAAATCTCTGAAAAAAATTCTACATGGTCTCTTTGTGTGGTTATTTGTAAATTAAGACGCATCTATTGAGAGGTAGAAAAAGGTACCATCCATCTTTGGTATGAGGAACTTGGGCTCAGAAAGCAGACATGAGCTGTGATTGCTTGCTTTCTTACTGGCTTGTGTAGATTAACTTCTGAGCTGAAATCCTGCCAAGCTTATTTGAAACGAATGGGGACATTTAGTCTTGAGACAAGAGTGAATGTCTCCTAGACATTAATCTGATTTCATAAAACGATTTAGGTATGTGCTGGCAATATTTGAGGTATAAAATAAAATAATGCTGCTTGTTTTAGATACTTGGTAGTTAATTTTCTTGTCAAATTTCATTGTAGTATCTCCAGTCTAAAAAAAAAAAATTAAATTAAATCAGCAGGTTGGCTGCTGTGCACAACTTGCTAGATGGCTGCAGCTCAGGCTCCTGCAGGGAGAGTGAAGGTTTCAGGATGGCGGGGATAATTTTAAATGCAGGGGGTCATTTTTCCACTAGGGAGAGGTGAAGCTGCAGGAATGATCGCTATATTTCAGTGCACTCATCCCTATAAAATCAAAGAGAACCTTGGTAAAAGCATCTTTAGTGGCTGAGACGATGTCCTTGGAGACAGCAGCTCTTTCCAGCAGCCCACCCTCACAGAGGAGTGAGTCGTGTCTGCCAGGCTTTGGGTGTTAGTCCTTGTTGCCATACCCCCTTGCTGTGCTTGGAGTTATTCAGAGAAATACAGATAAATTCTTCACTGCAGTACACAGACTGTGACTGTGTTCAAAAGCAGTCTCTAACTTGCAGAACTCCTGGTTTGTTTTGTTAGTTTTTGGTTTGCTGCAG